ATCCATGTTAAATATATTGTTCCATCCCCAGCCTAAATGTGTTCTTCACCGTATACTGATGATTGTTACGATACGATGATTTGGTTTAGGCAACAACAAGCTCTCAACTTTGGGGATTTCCCCCCTTTGTTATGGCTTACCCTTAACCCATCTAGTTGACCTTTTAATTCTCATATATAAATGTTCTTAACAAGTATATATGTGATCAGACTGTTCGAAATGTATCGCGCATATATATTACATAATTCTGATAAACTTCGTCTTCTCATTCCATTATCGAAATTTATCAAAGGGACTAATTGTTTTAAATTTTTCAAAATTCTCACGCCATGTAGGTGGGTTAATTGTGCTGTCCAGAACTTGATTACTGTTTTTGTCCAGTGTAACTTAAGTTAGTTATCTCTTCTAGAATAATAGTTTACAGCTCGATATGATTGCTAAAAAGCGGGCTAAAGCCGCTAGAGACTTAAAGTTAATGGGATGTCTCAAATCAACCTTTTGCTGAAGGTTTAGGAAGTTAAGAGCTGACTTTGTTAAAAAGGTATCTTTTAACCACCACTGGCTGTGAAAACCATCGTTCCCTTGTTGTAGAAGTTGAGAGCACGGCGATTGCAGAGCAGTGTGACAGTATTGTCTCACAATCAGCCACTGCCTCATGTAGTTACTGCAGTGTCCAGCCATTACAGCCAACCGTATGGTTCATCTTTATCTATTAATAAGCTATAGATTGTCAACAACTTGTTGGCTTACGAAGGCTGTGACGGTAAGGAACACTTAGTCTATAATGTGCATAGTTTAAAGGATATTGTTGACGATGTTATCGAGCACGGGAATTTAGTGTCACTTTCTGCATATCCTTTTGGATTCTGTATGCCAAAAATTAGGTGTTCAGCACACTGCGGCTTTTCCGCGGCTAAACAAACTGTATAGCGATATGCCGAAGAAGTTTACTTTCAAAGTGCACTGAATCAGGACATGGCAGACAATTTGACTGAGTCTGAGGTTAGTTATGATTCTTGTAAGGGAGCCATCACTTGCAAAAACTAAAAGCTAACAACCACCAGACCTGACAATGCTGTTATTGCCAACGGGAAACCAGGGTTGATAACACAAATTATTGATGGAAGCAGGATAAGGGTTGAGCATTTCATAAACCGTTAGATTTTTTTACTGACCCATTTCCCTCTAGTACTATAGACATATTCAGGCATTCTACCGTAAGCTACGAATGTACGTAGATCACACCTGCTGATATACTTTGTAAGTGTATCTGTATACCTACACAGCTGTTTAAGGTAATCATTCCCCTAGGACATACATATCAATAACATGACATCATTTCTCAATGACTGTCACAAATGCAATATTTTTAGCAGTAAGTAGGCCTGCTGATTAGTGCTTTGACCTACTTCATCTTGAGATGTGATCAAATATTCACGAATATATCGCTGTTTTAATTACAGCGATAGATCGATTAACGTTAAGTTTCTTTGACACTGAGTAATTGACTAAAAATAATGGAATATCGCAGAAAAAACTGTACGTATATATTCTTGCCTGGCTTTTCCGTGATATCTGTGGAAATTTGTTGAGAAGTATCGCCTTAAAACGAGTTTGCAAAAATTGTAATAAGATTATGGTGAAATTTTGGGGAAAAGCGCAAAATTTCCCCCAAACTGAAAATTTTCTGGGATTTACTAATAAATATAAACCGACTTCCCCAAAGCATAATAAGATTCTGGGGAAATTCCCCAGGTCTGGAGAAATTTTGGGGTTTTATTGCCATTTCCCCAAAGTTTACTATAGCTGCTTCCCCAAAATGGGTTAAATTTTCCCCAAATTGGGAGATTGGGATGATGTGACTTCCACACAGGATCTTATAGATTAAGCAGTTACATTATGACAAATCCACAATGTTAGGATTAGGTCTAATATTAGATCACTACTAATATCATTGTAGACCATAATTCTACAGATGTTCGCCCCGTGATTTCAGCTCAGTACGGTTCTCTGGACTCACCAGCTAAGTGGACAAAGCGATGGTGTTTGAAGCGATCGATGTTAGAGTTCCGGAGAGAAAATGAACTCAGGAATGCAGGTATATCCACCCTACGAGTCCTGACTGCGACGAGAGGCGCGGTTTAGATTCCACTGTTAACCACCATCCGACTGTTTAGAATGCAATATCGAGGTGGTCTTCACATGATGGACCTGAAAATTACCAAGACCAAAATAACCGATACGAATGTGTAGTGAATTTCTTCTATCAAGAGAACGCGATTGGTGTGATGGAAGCAATTGTTATTATTGTAACCAATTGTACCACGGATTGTTTTACCGTACTGCAGCCATCAACTGCCTTCTGATATTTGGCTTACGGAGGATCTTATCGGTTAACTGGCACATAGTCTTCCTGTGGTGGTGATCATAGTCAGCGGAGACTCGACGCCACACCACAAACGCATCAGTACTAAAAAAAGGTTTATGTGGCTATCAATGTCTGTTTAATATAGATTTCTTTAACAAAACTGAAAGGCTTAGACGTATTATTTGGCTAGCAATAAATTTGCAGTCAGTGGTTATAATCATCCCATGTGAAATGGTTTGTCCAAACTTAACCAAAACCTGTTTAACAGAAGGAATAGTTTGAAGAGCGCTTTGAAATGTTCTACTAAAATATATTGTTATTCCTTTATTCTTTCGCTCTGTCTTGTATTTAAACTTCTTACTTATAAATCTTGGGACCATGTTTCATATTTCCCAATGTTTTTTGTCTGGACCGTTATCATTTAACCTTAGCAAGGATTTAAAGACTTATTGTAGTATAATGCCGGGTCATAGATAATAAGGTCGTAATTTACTAAACTCAGGGTTACAGAGTGGTTTAGTTCAGAATTGTTAACCTTTGACCACCTGCTGGAAACGGTTATGCGGATCCTTGAAGGTAGATTTTTGACCTTATTTTGTTGTGGATACAATTATTGGTTCTCTGATACTTGATTTCTCTTTGTTAACCATACCTTTGGATGTTTACTGAGCTTTTCCTTGTACGAGAAACCTTTAAGTGTTTGGCGAAAATTGTACCGATTGAGGTACTTTGTATTTTGGTGTAAATTGGTTTCCTTGTAAACTTAGAGCCAATTAAATGAGGCAAAGAATTTGTGTTTGGATATAATTTAATACGACTGAACCAAACAATCCTTTCGATCACGGTTTCGAATGTTTTGTACGTAAGCATGTGTTCATTTGAAGAGTCTTTCCATGGATACTTTTTTTGACTATAACCCTTTATGTTACTCTTGAATGTAAAACTGTTAATTTTAACACCTTAAGTTGAAATCCCGTTAACTTTTGGATATAAATGAGACTGTGATCATTTTCTTTAATCGCAGCATTGATTTTCAGGATATCTCACCCAGTTCATGTGAATTTGACAGTTTAATTTAGTTTCGTTTGACTTGGCTCCTAATCATGACGGAGGACATCTTTGTTTTCCTCAGTACGACTGTTCTTCTAACTGATCAGTCTGATCTATTCAGGAAGGAGGGAAATAAAGTTTAATCAGCAGGATCACCTTTTCTTTGATAAATGACAACTTTGTACCTCCTATTAGTTTATCTATCCAATATATTTCATATTTAATTATTTAGTCCGCTCAAACAACTCTTTAGGTTGTGTAGTTTAGTAGTTCTATTCGTTTATGTGATTTGATGTAACTTATATCAATGAACTATCAAACAATTTTTAAGCAGATGTTGCACAAAATCTCATTTAACTGCTATCGATTGGTTAGAAGTTTTCACGTAAGGTCATCGTTTTTAAATGACGAAAATATGAGAAAAATAAAGTAATGCATATGCACATAATATATAAAAAGAGAAAGAGCCACCTAGTGAAGTGGTCTTCAAAAGTTCAGAAGACCGGCTCGCCTATGAAAATACTGTTGATACGGTATAATCGGACGATTCTAACATCACAATACTTTAATAACGATAACTTAAAGACAAACAAGGAAAAAGGTGTCAAGAGTTGAGAAATTTCAGTTGAACGCAGCAAATGTTTAACCGAGTGACTTCCCCGCTGACCATATCGAAGAGAATAAACTTACACCAATTGTTTTGGGATAAGACGAGAATACCTGGCTGGAAGCTTTCAACGAGTTGTGTTGGTTTTCACTACCAAGGTCGACATCTATTATCCTCAGAGCTACTTGTTTTGGTAAGCCATTCAAAAAGGTATAAATGAACATATTTCTTCGTCGAAGGTAGCCTTTTGAAATGGTATCCTGAAATACGAGTCCTGAGAATGATTTGTCCTATAGAAGGCACCAAATCCGCACACAACACAGAGTGTGATAACATATGCGCAGCAAAAAAGAAAATAACTGACTGCCCGAGATTATAATGAACGATCATATCAGTGTTTCGTTCAGCCATAAAAGTTGTCATATGTTTACAACTCAATGGATGTAAGAATCCTGTTCGGTATGGTTTATATGAAATTGATAATAGAATGTCATGAAGTAAATTCATCTGCACACACACACATTTGCTACACGCTAAAAAACGGTTGAAAATACTCAATACTAAATAATGTATTTCCGTGTTCATCTTGTTTTGCTAATGAGGAATGGCAACTTGGACAGATGAATATATATGCCTAGTTCTACGTTGTACCCGACTGACTGTATTTTCGTAGACTAAGCCACTTTACTATAGGTACCACTTATTTTGTGCCAACTTTGTCATACCAGTAAACCAGCCTATACTCAGTAATTATTTTCAAAACCTATGGCCTCATCAAAATCACCAGTGTTATTCACCATATCAGATAATCAGAAACTTATTTACCTCAAAATACACTCAATTACCTGTTCAACTTGAGCTGTATGTTCAGAGATACGGTTGACCAAAGACGCGCAAACACGTAGAACGACCTAGGGTTCTGATTGGTCTCGCTTCCCTGTATAGCCCAGCCAATTGAGTCCAGAACGAAAGCCCCAGCCTCGGATATATGAATCATTATATTTCAAACATACTTGTTTATATACCAGTCAAACAGTCCACAACGTACCATAAAATAGAAAATAACATTGTACAATAATGACCAGTAGGAAAATAACACGCTAACTAAATATTGACCAATAAGATGATACTATTTCATGTCCAAGGATAGCATTAGGCTTAACAGGATAATTTTTGGGATATTTTCCTGAATATCCCAACACCTCCCCTTTTTTTTTGGAGATCCGGAGTTGATGTCCGGATTTTAAATTTTTCTCGCGTCTATCCTCCCCCTCGAAATAATGTTGGGTCTTCATAAACCCAAATTACAATTAATTTGATTGTATTTAAAACACATTGCACAGGGAATCCAGTAAAATCGACCAGATAATGAGGATAAACACCACTCAATTCGAAATCATCCGAGTTCAAATCTTCTGAGATATTGTTGTCAAATTTATAAGGAGCATCATTAGTAGATAATGGATGATTATGGTAATCCGTGCCCAACAAAACTGTGCCAGGTTCTTGATTATTAGTTGATGCGTGAAACACATTTTCTGGCAAAACAATGAGATCTTCTCGTGAGCTGGATATGTTACTGTCTGCACATGCTGTTTCGGGGTTGATGGAGTTTGACTCCATTACCGGGCATGTTTCTGAAAGAGAAAGTACTGGACCACTGGGCGCATGATGGATGACTGTTTCGTTTGAAGTACAGTTCACCGAGGATTCATGGAGGCTGCTGTCATTTTCCAGCTCACTGTGTATTTCAGATATCAATCCATCCACTTCCGTCGCGTCTTCATAGCGTGAGTGATTTAGCAGCTGCGTACGGAATTTGACTAATAACTCCAAATGTCGTTCATAGAGCAGCTGTAATCGATCGGAAGGAAGAGTCATTTTTTTGAATCAGCACTTGTGATGAAAATTACTGTATGACTAATGACCAATGTCGTTGAAGGACACTGACGACAATCTGGATGCTGATTGGTCGGATAATTAGACTGGATTTCGTCCAATTACAGAATGACTTTGGATTGAAATTTTTTTCCTTCACCCCGTCGCCAATTGTTATAACGTGAAAAATAATTGCTGATTAAGGGATAGCGAATTATTGATCGGACCAAAGACGCGCAAACACGTAGAACGACCTAGGGTTCTGATTGGTCTCGCTTCCCTGTATAGCCCAGCCAATTGAGTCCAGAACGAAAGCCCCAGCCTCGGATATATGAATCATTATATTTCAAACATACTTGTTTATATACCAGTCAAACAGTCCACAACGTACCATAAAATAGAAAATAACATTGTACAATAATGACCAGTAGGAAAATAACACGCTAACTAAATATTGACCAATAAGATGATACTATTTCATGTCCAAGGATAGCATTAGGCTTAACAGGATAATTTTTGGGATATTTTCCTGAATATCCCAACAATGTGAATAAGTTTTCAATTGCTAGGTGGTTACTAAACTATATTGCGAACAAAATTCCGTCGTTTCTGAAGGGAGAAGTTCAAAAAGAATGCTACACTTACGAGACAATATGTAGAATCAATAGGAAACAATGAATCCTAGTCATGCCATGTTGCGCCGGACGTGTTACCTCGGAAGATTGATTAGTGGACGTTGAATTGAATAAATCAGGACCAAAATACATAGATCAACAACATCATTACATTAATAATAGTCCAATTTGATAAAGGATGAGATAAGGTCTCGCAGAAGTAAAACATGCGTGAGCGTTATAATGCACATGATCATATCGCAGCAATCACTGTGACTATTGATTTCAATGATTAATCAACGTAACTACCATAGTGGAGAAATAACTGGGAGACAAGTTCGAAACCATTCACCTCGTAACTTCACTAGGCACGATATTAGTAATTCGCCTGCTGAATAGTAAACGAACTCCATGTTAGTCTAGGACCATGTCTCTACAGCGAATCATGCCAAAAAACTTGGAAACCGAACTTACGAATATTGCAAGGGAACGAACCTCACACAGCAAATGTTAGTTTCGAGATAATCTGTATAAACCTTAGTTTACGAATGAAATTGACCAAAGTAATGACATACTATACAGATTTCCAAACTGTAGTCTTTGGTGTCTCAATCCTACAACCACAAGTTGAGAGCGAGCGCTGTATCGATATAATGCTGGAAGTGGATATTGAGAACAACAGATACACTTACTTGAGAACGAATACACTTGCATTGTAGAGATGATGCTTACATCGAACCAAGCTAATGTCATTTTCACCAACAGCACACTCATCATTAGCCGAGTACGTGCCGTGGAACTTCAGAAAGAATCTTATCAGCTAAACGACGAGGAAACAGATAACTTACAAGTCTGGGAAATTGCTTTACGTATATTAGATTTATATCACATACCGATATTGATAATAGCAATTCAGATCAATAATATTAGAATTACAACGCTTTTAAGGTGTTTACATATGGTAAAATACAATAGTTCACTTCATCAACTTGAATAGTATGATTAAGATAGAAGCTCCTATGAAATTAGAAACTTATCAGTGTAGAAAATAAGCTCGAAAACACATACACAAACACTAAAGGACAAAAAGATGAAGGCGCAATGAAAGTGATTTAAAAAAAGACACTAAGTTAAGTTTTACAAGATTACATGTATATTCAAGGAAATTGACGTGTCTTTGTAGAAATCCAACTTTGAAAAAGACAAATGAGTAATTTTGCGAACAAAAAAATATGAGTTCATTTGTTTTTTTATTTATTATAAATGATGAATGAATATAGCCGGAATTGAACCGAAAGCGAAGGCATTGGAAGGGTAGAGGTATAAATACCGGACTAGGATGTAAACGAGATTTATATAAGGTGGATTTGTTTACTCAGGATGTTGTTGTGGTACATTTAGAAGTGAAGTTAAAAGAACTGATATAACAGAGACTGAAAACAATTTTGACAGTAAAATTATTAATGGTAATGAAATGAAACAAAATAACACTTAGTTTATGATTTATGTAGCTGCCAAAGTTGTAGTACCTTGTGGGGTAGTGTAAATTGTTCTGATTTGTCGATCATTTCCCGATATTGAATGCCCTTCAGGATTCATTCGAATTAAATGAGCACCGTTGATTTCAACTTTGAAAGCTCTTGATACACAGGAATCGACAGAAAAAAGTTGTTCAGAATTGAAATTCTCACCAACTGTAGGTGTTGAAACGTAGATGGGTTCTAGGGGTGCATCATTTACAGCTGTAGTCAATGTTGCAACCGGTTGTTCATGAACCTTGAATGGAAAAAAATGAAAATGATTAGAAATATTGAGCATCGAATCATACAAATCTTATGATTTACACTTAATTACTATAATAAACAAATGACTTCTCGATTGCAAATATTTTGATTTGAAAAAGAATAATTGTTGAATAATCCAATAAAGTTGAACATAAAAAAACTAATACTCTGTGACGGATGACTATGATTTAACAAGCATCTAATCCATGTTGGATACAACTATGAAACACAATTTTAATTCCAGTTATTTAAGTATGAGGACAACCATTCCATATGCAATAACTGTAACAACTTTGTACAATTAGAATAATAAACAAGTGTTTAGTGGATTTAATGATTGGTAAAAATGTAGCACACAAGAAAAAACATGTGTTGATTAAGCAGTAGTTAGAAATCAGTTTAACTTGTGGCAAGCCCATTTGGCTACTGTACCATTTGTCTATTCATTGTAACTCAGACTTTTAATTCACTATGTTAATTCAGTGTGTATGATCGAATGCATGTCTGTACATTAACTCTTAAGCTATCCTCCTATTGGTTTCAATGTGCAGATAATCGATAATTTATCCACACCCGATTAACTCGCAAAAATATATATGGATTTTTAACACACACTCCCTCTGTTTCATCGTGTGCTTGCTCACCGTACGCTTGTGGATTTTATTTATCTTTAACAATAAAATAAAATATCTCTACAACTGGTGTTTAGGCTTCTGAATAATCTCGAGTAAATCCGTAATTCCACTAGGAGATTAAGTCTACCTAAAATACTCAGTTAACGGGATATTATTTATTGGAGTCAGATATTGAGGACATTAGCCTCAACAAACTCCACTGCCTACGCAAAATACTTCAGATCCGTTGATCAGATACTATCAGCAACAACCTACTGTGAGAGAACAGACCAAATTTTAGAGGAGGAAGAAGCAGTGAAAGTGGATAGGACGCACAATGAGGATAGCACCCAACTGTGTCACAAGACAAGTCCTTACATCGAATCCTCAAGGCAAACGGAAGAGAAGAAGAAGACCAAAGAACACACTACACCGAGAAATGGAGACAGATATGAGAAGGATGAACAACAATTGGAGAGAACTAGAAAGGAAGGCTGAGGACAGAGTGAGTTGGAAAATGCTGGTTGCAAGCAAGTAAGTAAGTAGAAATCAGTTACTGGTAGGATGAAAAAAACATGACAATAAACAAAAACTTGGTTCTACATATTTATTGTAGAATTTAAGAAAAATGTGAATTTTCACTCAAGAAATTGTAACTTGTACCTGTCTAACTGATACAAAATAAAATTTAGTGAGTATTGTGTGTGCACGAGAAGGGCTACAGAAATTTGGTTGAAAAGTCAGATGGCTTTTTTAGTAGTCACAAGGTACTTGACGCATAGTGTGGTGTATAGTAATCTATATGTAATCACTGACACAATTTCATCAATTCATGTAAGATTTCGTGAAAGAAATTTAGATACAAAATAGAAATATATCGAAGTAAACAATAAGAGTATGAAATAGATATGGGACAATATACAATTTTTCCTTATTCTGATTCTAGGGTAGATGAGACTATTAATTATGGACGACCTATAAACAACGCCAGACTGATCTTAAGTGTGTCCACCTAATGTGAGGAATTAAAATTATGACATCAGTTATAATGTCAAAACTCTATTTATTCGAATGAATGAGTGAATTTGGCGTCAAACTCCAAAACCTGTTATCTTATAAGTGATTGGTTCTTCCATAAATCATAGTCTCTCCCTAAGGGTATTTACATAATGAAATACAAAATTTCATGTATTTATAAATTTGCTAGTGCATATAACAAACAAAGATACTGAACTAAAAAACTGAATAATTTCTTAAAATATTTAGTAACAATTACTCCTGAAGAATAGAATACTCATTAACTGATTGGATTAGATTTACGAATAGATAGAAATGTCCAGACAGTTCTACTGTACGGAACTGAAACTAAGAGAACTAATACAACCATCATCAAGAAGGTACAAGGATTTATAAATAGTTGTCTACGCAAGATACTCAACAACCATTAGTCAGATACCATCAGCAGCAGTCTACTGTGGGAGAGAACAAACCAGATTCAAACTGAAGAAGAAATTAGGAAAAGATGATGGAAATGGATAGGATATACATTACGCAAATCATCAAACTGAATCACGAGGCAAGCCCTAACTTGGAATCCTGAAGGGAAGCGGAAAAGAGGAAGGCCAAAGAACACATTACGTCGGGAAATAGAAGCAGATATGAAAAGGATGAATAGGAACTGGAAAGGATTGCCCAGGACAAGGTTGGATGGAGAGTGCTAGTGATCCTCAACGAGGAGTAACAGGCATAAGTTATTAAAATTTATAGGCATAAGTATCACGTTCATGCTTCTGACATTAAATCATGAACATTTTAAATGATTAAAAATGATGGAGTGTTTAAATTTTCTAAATGTCAGCCAGTCATAAACAGTTTTTAATCTATTGTCATTTGCATTAATTTAAGGGGTCACAGTTTGCACCAGTACAGTCAGATGAAATTAACAATAACAACAAAAGACAATGATATAATATAATTAACAGTGAGAATAAGGTTAGAATAAGATATGAATACTAAGTTCAACATTTAGAAGTTAATAAATAATAAAAATGATTTGGAACCAAATCAAGTTAATAATTTAAACATACATTAGAATTACTTCACAACCTTTTAAATACAGTCTAAACACAAACTAATGATATGTTTGATTTGTACGATCATAATCTACCACAGTCAACATTCCATTATAATAACCAGCATATCACCCCATGGTAAGTGGTGGTTAGGTTTATGCAACGCTTCATTTATTTAAACACAGATACTGGTACAAGGAGGTACCAAATATATGTGCACCAAACTCCATCATTCGGTTTGC